ATTGGTCCGCTAGGAGTACGGTCTGGGCGAGAGTCTTAAATTGATCATCTCGATCACGAATATGCATATGAGGTGCCGCTTGGGAAATGGGACGGACGAACCCCCTTCCTCCTCTACAAACTTCAGACCCAGTTACTCTTTAGCAGAACCTTTGACCATTTCGTAACTAAATTCAACAAAATCCCCGCTGTAAATAAATTTTTGGCGGCTGTCGTTACGTAGTACGTCAGCTGCGTGGCCATAGTCGTTTTTCACGCCGGATCTGCTCTTCATGGCTACGGCATTCCGAGGTTGTAACGGTCGGCTTAGCGCGCAAACATCAACTTTGAATGTGTAATGTGGAAGAATTTGAGCAATCCCGGCTACGCAACGCGTGTTTTCAACTCATTAGCTGTCACCATTAAGTGGTGAAATTTCAAAATGGCCCCACTGACAGATCTCAGATCTCAGACGTTACACCATCTGACAATGGTACAACTTAGCAAAGTTCTTTATAATTCAGAAGGGCCATTTCCGAGAGTCCCTCATTGCAACAGTTGCTAACACAGCAAAAGAAAGTGCTCAAAAACAACAGTTTTGGCCTTTTTTTGTTCGGCATACATTTGTAAACCCTAAGATAACGCTGTTACCACCCAGAGCAGAGCTTGGAACGAGCTGGCCTAGGGAATTTTCAAAACGAAGTCCCCTTTGACCTTCAAACACTACACGTAAAAAACCCTCAAGAAACGAAACGTCGACTAAAAAACGCAGCAGTTTTCAGCCACAATAATAATATCCCCTCTGCTTTTTATCCCAAAAACGATATACAGCTTTCCTCATCCCGCTGCCAAGCCCTGACTCAGAGAAACCCTCGAGAAAAAAGGGTCGAGGAAAATTTTTTCTGTGCTCAAAGCTTTCACAGTAAAGATAGTGAAGTTGCATAGCTTTTCTATACTTGAAAACTGGGTAGGTTCTCTACTCGCGAACACGGGCATTTATTTGTAAAATTCATTTTTTTTTGTGCCTAACACTTGATTTGGACTTGCGTTTGGCTTTGAGCAAATATTAATAAAACTTCAAGAATTTATCAGCTTTGATCTCGGAGCTACATATTTTAGTGTTGTGCGTGTACTCGGGCAGAAAAGGAGTTTTTTCATCGTAAATCTTTTTTCCTAATGAGGTGAATAATTCAAGATTCTCTTTGAATCTCGGATGGTGATCCAACACAATTCAATACTATAGAATTTGAATAAAGTTTGTGCCCGGACAAGATGAAATTTCGTAAAAACAAGAACATTTGGCACTACAGAAACCATTTATATGGGCAGCCACTCAAAATCAAGCTGCTGAAAAGGCATGAAAATTTTCCTAAATCGTCGAAACGAGAGGGCGAAAATAGAAATAAGTGCTGCATGCTATTTAAAACAATTTTCTGGTCAAAAGTAACAATGTGAACTGCTTTGCACGCATGACATAGCTATTCAAACATGCATATTTTGTTACTCATGATATCATTTTGCTAAGAACAAGTGTAATGATGTCAAGCATAGATAAACAAGGAGGAAAAGAGAATGTTGGGGGTAAAAATAAGTAGGAAAAAAATCAGGGGAATCTGCGCACAATAATTCAAAGTCCCCCCTCGCCATTTTCCTTTCTTTTCTGAAAATCTATTATGCGCAAAACATGCAAAGTACAAACCCATCTCCGCAAATTGTGGGTGTTTTTTATGCCGTTTTTTCCCCGGTCTACCCTCCCTCCCTTCTTCATTCCCTCCCAAAAAATCTTTTGCAATTCCTCCCAGGGGCCCCAAATACAAGCGTTTTTGCTCATGTTACCAAATGTCGTGTCAGGGCTCAAATACGTTATTCTTCGTGTTTGCTCACTTTCTTCTGTTTCGCGAATCCAAATGCCAAACTGCCTAAGTGGCGCGAATTCGTTTTGCATTGAGCTGGGGCGCAGCCCACGAGCTGGTCACCAGCAAATTTCCGGGAAAGTGCAGCTCCCATGAAAATTCCCAGGATATCAGTAACAGATACTGCTTCTGCTTGACCCCGAATCTTTTCGCGCAAATGAGATGAGATGGCTTTCGGGCTCTCATAAAATGAGTGCCAAAGGTTGCCGGAGAGTTGTTTGCGAGGATACGAGCTGATAGGGGTGAAAAGCGGAGCAGTTGTTGCATGACGGAGCGATAGATTACCGAGCTGCATTGATTACAACCACAAAACATCTGCTGGACATCGTTCGCGCCAGGACCCATGCTTCCCCCTTAGTGGATCCAGAAAAAATGAAAATAATTTGAAAATCTGTGCCAAGTGGGGCGCGTATCTGTAACTGTGCCTCAGCTGAGACGGGAAAGATTAGCGGAAGGGCGAAAACGACTCAATGGGAATCCGCGTAGGGATAACTCGACCCTCGGGACTAATTGATCTTAGCGCTAGCAAACAGCGTAAAATTCCTAGCAAATCGCCTTCGCATTGGGGGGTGTGGGGGAGGGGGTACAAAAGGGGGTCTGGGACTTTATGGCACGAAGCCCCAAAACAAGAAAATTGTAAGAAAGCCCAGGCAACCGATAGCAAATGCCAGAAAATGAATTTGTTTGTCCAATGGGGTGTGTTTGAAGAGGGGAAGAGAATCGAACAACAACAGCCTCGCAATTAATCAGCGTGATTTGCAAAAACTACTGTAATGGTACAAAGTACAGAGCCAGTAATAAATCATGAGGTGAGGTAGCTTTCTAAGAAAAAGTTGAGCTGGCTGTTTTTTGTAAAGTTTGGGAATTTTCGTCTAGAAACATTTTGGGTGAGAAGGAAAGGAGGAAAATCTGGCTACTTTCTCAGATGGAAAGAATGGAGATTTTGCGGGAACTATAGAAAATTTCATTAAGGGTTGAGGTGTGCATTAGTATGGTCAAGCTGGAGGCTCTCTCAAACTAACGAAAGCAAAAAAAAATCCTTTCAGTCCCTATTTCTAATTTTCCTTTTCTCCTTTAACTCTTCCCTCTTTAAATGAAAAAATGGCTCTTTCAAGGTACAAGTTCTAAAACTTTTGGTATCGATTCTACTTCTACTTTAATTGATATTCAAATATATTCAGAGAAGTAAATAAGCGCAGAAGATGGCATGTGACTCTGCATCTCTCCAGTTGAATAGTCTAGTTTATAGGAATTTTCAGCCTTCAAAAGTCCTTTAGAAGCATTCGCAATCCTCTCACGAGGGCTCTCTGGAAGTCTTGGACCATATTGTTGAATAATATCGAATCGGATTTTGCTATTTTTACTATGTTTTAAAAGTCCCTCCAGATGAACGAACACTCTCCCAGCCTCAATATATGCCCATACCCCGGTGTTCCCCCTCCATTCCTTTTTCTGGTTTGATGACTCGGCATTGTGCGTTCACCTCATCCAGACTGCTCTCTCAAAAGCGTAAATAGACTAGAGGGGAATGCGCGTATAGAAAAGTGAAGTGAGGTATGAAAGGGCGCATCAGATTACATCATGCGGTTCATTGAACTCTTTTTATTTGACAATATAGTTCAAGACTTCCAGGAGCCGCTAGCAGTAGATTGCGATTAGTTCTAAAGGACTTTTGAAGGTTGGAGACTCTTTCAGTGATATTGCGGTATTAGTTGTCAATATTTCTAGCGTATGTTTACTGTGTATAAATAATAAACCAAATAAATAAATAGTCGAATGTATGATTGGGTGAAAAAAGCTAGTAAAATAGATTAGATAGGCATCTTATGACGCTATTTATATTTGAAAATCTCAGAGTATTTTTCGGACTCTGAGAGTTTGATTCTATACCGTATAGCTACCGTAACCTTACAAAAATTCAGTCTAGAGAATCCCAAAGCGTATTATTTTGGAGAACTATGTCCGCAGAAACTTACAGTTGTGACTCCTACGTCCGCTAGCAAAAGACATTGATTTATGATATCAGCTTTCTTCCACATTTTGATGAGAATAAAACAAGAAAATTCATCAAAAAAAGTCCGGAAGTGAACTTTCAGCTACATATCTATGACGAGGTAAAATAGAAGATTTTTTGCTTATTAAAAAAGTAAGTTCCAAAAATTAACAGGATCCAGCTTGCAGTCGTGAACTTTCTGTTTAGCAAAAATGGCGTAAATTTGCACTTTTATCTAAACCACTATTCCAGTTTGGAATCTTGCCAGATTCGACAAACCAATGAACAGACGTATAAGTTTTATGGCTATGAGTGTCTTTCTATGCGCAAAATTGCACTTTTACATACCGTCTTAATGGATGTCCGTACTGGTAACATTTTGCTATTGAAGATACAAGTTCATAAAAATGGCCTATAATAGTGTCTGCGTAGAATTATGCATTCTAGCAGTAGTGAGTGCCATCCGTCAAATATTGATCACATATTTCACATTTTTCTGGGTTGTGCCCAGTTTTATGACTCCCAAAATGTGTGTGCACTAGAGTTCAAAATCATTTTTCGATTCGTTGCACTTTGCTTTGCTCAAATATTGTAGGTAGTAAAATAAGAAAAAAATACATCTGGGTGACATACACCCTTACTTTAAGAAATGAAATTTAGGTGTTTAATTTAAATACTGGAAATATATCGTGGGACACGGTATACACACTTCTTGATTCAGCATTTTGTGTAATTGCACTAATTCAGAAGTCTACCGAAGCGGAAGTGTGGCGGTAAAGTACGAATAAATGAAAAAACAATGAAAAGTAGTACGGAGGATGACTGTACAATGTGAATAAAGCATCTTTGCGCAACATTTCGTCTAATAGTGAAATTACACAAAGTGCCGGCCGAAGGAGCAGGACTATAAACGCAGAACATGGATGTGGAAAGCAGAGGATGCGGTATTCTCCAATGACGATTCCACATTTATGAATCAAAGCAAAAATCTTATGTCATAGATAAACATTGTTCGCCTGCGAAACGATATTGATAAAAAACCTTGTGAACCATCTTTCGACTTTACAACAAACAGGAAACGATGAGCTTTATTTGCTTAAAAGAAACAAAACTAACCATTGTAAAAATCAGTTCCGGGAACAATCCATAACGATAGAAAAATGGCCTGAAAATGGGTAGATTGATGCCGGAAAGCACAGAAGTCAAAACGGGCGATGAACTGCGACGAATGACGGGGGTGCTACCCCCGTTCCCCGTGTGTATATACTGCTCGAGACACTAACACACACGCAAACGGTGGCGATGACGAGAATGAAGCTTAAAAACAATGGCGACGGGTCTGCCAGAAGTAGGACTTGGGGGTGGTGATATTTTGTACAAAAATTAGTAAAGTTAAGGATGTGCAGGGAGAATTACGGGCTTGAAAGGCGAGAGATGGGCGCTTGTTGCAGTTGTCCGAGTATCAGTTTCAGACATGTCATCCTTCTGATAGCAAGCAAGGCTAACCGTATAACTACTATATGTGCGAGGGACTCACAATTTATCCATGAAAAAAAAGTGACACAAATTCTCTTATTTTTTCAGTTTGCCTTTTCAAAGTCTAATCATTCTTCGGTACTGTCATACTTTACTGAGTCTCGCAAGTAAAATGTACACTTCAAAGTCGAAACGCTTTTGAAAAAAAAAGGCCAAGAGAAAACAAAGCGTTAGAAAAGATTTATCCGCTTCAACACACAATTTGTTTGAAATTTCCAACGATTCACGCGATAAAGCAGTTGTTCCAGCTTCCAGAGAGACATGATTTATCGCTATTGCTTCATGTTTTATTGCTAAAGCTTCATGGATTGGTTTTCTACCAGCTTTAGAGTAAAACGGGAAAAAATTGTACGTTACAAATTCGCAAAGACCCCCATGATTTTTAAATTTTCCATGGCAATAAACCCGGGAATTAATGCTTCAAAACAAAAATTCATCAAAATTATTGAAAGCTTACAGTGCTTCAAGTAATCTACTTCCCTCAAGCTAGAAAAAGATGATATTCTACCCTCAAAATACACTCAACCTTCCTATTGAATTCAATATATGAACAGAAATAAGACTGACTGAAGTGACGCATCCGCAACGCACAAGGTTTTGTCGCGGTTGCGAAACGTACTTTCAACTTGTTTTCGGCTCAATGCACCGCTAAATTTCCACATGAATTATGAACCTTTTTATATACATTTGAAAAAGTTGTGGAAATGAGGGTATTATTGAATTACCACACAAATATTTTTTAAACGCCTAAGAAAGCGGGCTTAGCTACAGAGGAAATGATTCAGACCAGGCCAATTTCCATGAATCATGTGTGCTCGGATGCATGAAAATTTCTACTTTGTGATTTATGAAAGAAATTTTGGCCCGATGCTAACTTGAGTACGATACAAAATGTAGAGGAAGGAGACATGAAGAAAAAATTCTATATTTGAGGTAGAATTTTATTTCTTTTGTCGAGATATTGCGTAAGCATGAATAATTACTCTTAGACAATCCCAATCTTGAAAATAACTAATGGAGAAAAAAGTTTGGAATTCACTGCGCTTAATTGCTCTTACTGTTTAGTCTAGTCCAAAAGTGCGAAAGTCAAAATTTCCCCACTGCCAAGCAAGAAAATCTACTGTCGAGCTTTTTTTGCACAGCTAAATAAATCGAAAATTCCCAAGAGATTTTCGACAGCAGAAAAGACTTCTAAACGTGATGAATGAGATTAGCACGTCTTATTCCATTGTTCAGCAGAAGCACTGAAAATGTTTTTTTGCATCAGCATGTCCAAGAGTTTTTGCGAATGCTCATTTTCCCATTTCCCAAGAAATTCATTCATGCTTATAGCATAAGGAAAGAACTGCTAAATTTATCCATTCTGCTCGAAATAGACCAAGAACTTGCGACAAAACAGCAGAAAGCGTGCCGGGAGTCTTTTGAAATTTGAGTTGTGGCGGATGTCGAATCACGTCACCCATTTTTTCACAGAAAGTTTTGGCAGACCCACGCATTTGACATTCCAGAACAGGAAAAAAGGGCAAAGGAAGTGTTTGCTACGGGTCCTAAGTGGAGGACAACATCATGTCAAAGAAGGAAATAGTAAATGACCGTGACAAATGAGTGCACAAATGTGCTTTGTGTAGTGCGAGATGCCGGAAAGACTGGATTTTCGGCCGGCTAGCTGTCAATTTTCCGTTCGTCGCGAGTTGAGACAGTCAATTTAGTATCTGTCATGGCTGCATGAGTCATAAAAAAGTGAGAGGTAAAGGACAAAAAATTTTCTTCGGAAGTCACTAAAAAATTTTCTTCGAAAGCTAATTAAAAAACAAGCTGAGGGAACAATTTTCTTCAAGTTGATAAAAGACATTGATATGTGATGGATTGATCAAGTAAGATTTTGGACGACGCAGAAAAAAAATGAATAAATGAGCTGTCAAAGGGGGTTAGTTAAAGAAAAAATTAAGATTCTTCCTTTTCTTGCATTTTTTGGATAGAAAAAACTTCTGTAGATTCAATCAGTAAAGTTCACTTACAAAACTCTTCCTGTAAATACTCACCAATCCACAATATCTCATTCAAAAATTTTTTTTTACAAAATCTCTCGAAAATTCTACACTTTCAATCTACTGTGTTGGCTATAGTAATTTAAAAAAAACTTTACTTTCCTTTATGATGAATTTTTCAGGCGATAATAAATAATGCAAATATGTACTATAAGTAGCAGATCGTTTATGAACGGCCATTTTTTATGGGTGTATGACAAAGGGGGAAAACGAGCAAAACTTTTTGAGTTGAGTCTAGAGAAACTGAGGAACAAACTGTGAGAAATAGCAATCAGAACTTAGAGAGTTCAAAGCGAAAGAGACGAAACTACAAAATCGACCATGGCTGCAATAAAAGCATGCCCGAGATTCAAAAAGTGCTACAATCGTAAAAGTGATTGTGAGCCGAGTCGACTGGAAGACGAAAAATAAAGCCGGAAAGCCGTCGGCGCCACGGCAGCAGCGAAGTACGGCTTTAGGCTGAGGCGGAGTTTTCTCTCTCCCCCCGCGCTTGTCAGCCGGGGGGCCTCTTGGCACCGATCCGTCCTTCAGGGTTGCAAAGGCAAAAAAGACTGACAACGATGTGATGGCTAGACTTTTCTAGAAGTTCGGGTTGAGACTGCAAAATATGACATTTGGCCGCAAAAGAGCGATGTTATGGGGGCTAGTATTTGGCACCATTCCGGATGCCTTCACGAGAGCCGGAAGACATTGAAGGCGACTAACAAGTTCCCGACGTCGGACCACTAGCATATTGCATTGTTCGAGATTTTCCCACAAATGTTCATTCATAGTGAAGAAAACGTTAAAATTCAAACAAACGACACGTGCCAGTCTCAACTCACTTCCATCTCTTGTGACAGTTGTCCTCAAAATCTGCGATTAAAAGTATAAATCGCTTACGCTAAGCGCACAATGATTGATGACCAGATGTGACAAGCGAGCTCGCTACTGCGATGGTAAAAAAGTCTGAGGAACAAATTTTGAAATCTGACACTCTTCCAACAGGGTTTCCCGAATGTCAGATTTTTTTCTCGTGTAGCAAGTGGAGAATTCCCACAGCGTAGTCATTCCCAGGCGACTAGAAGAAAAATTATTTGGAAACTTGAAAGCAGACAATTTTTTCGTTCAATGGGTAACCGCTTGGAATTTTTCAATAATGTATCCTCCACTTGAAGTCTAGATGTAATAATTTAAGCAGATCATTTTTTATCGATATCATTGTATGAGATAAAAATTCGTTTTAATCTAATTTGTAGCTGCATTTTATTTGAAAGCGGAAGTTTTTGCACGACGCTATTTTGCGTCAGAAATCCATGCTTTGTTTGCAGTTTCAAGTTTTTGCCCAGGAAGGTGAAATGCACAGACCAGCATTGCTTTTTACGGTCCATTTTGCTGAAGTGTATGAGAATACAACAAGCGCAGAAGTTTGTAGCAACGGATGAAGTATTAGGTCGGTGCAAAAGTTTTGTCAGTTTTTTCAATCCATCGGCAAACACGCTAGAATGAAGATAAACAATCACTTTAAAATGTATCCGATGCAGAATTTCTTTTTCTTTTCAGTGGCTAAACTTCGATTGTGATTCCTTGAGAGAGTGATGAGATATTCCCTGGAAATTGCGACCATTCGTTTTCACCATGTCCAAATTTCACTAATTTTCAGAATTTTTGTATGAGACTTTCGGAGGAGCCCTAATAACTATCAGATAGGGCAAACCTTTTGCCAACAGAAGCAATTTTTTGTAGCCCTATGGCTTGTCTTTCAGAATTTCTACGAATCATTTTTTGAAGTAACCAAATTTTACATTCAGCCTATTTTAACCTCGCAGAACATTAAATGTTAAACACTTCAGTCACCATTCGATGCAACTTTCTCTCCTCTTTCTAACACTTGTCTTTTTTGCTGAGACAGGAGAAATTTGTGTGGAAAACCGCAGCATTTTTCAATTTCAGAAGTGCGCACTGACGTAACCTATGTTTCAAAATCTTCATAATTTGAAGCGAAAATCGCTCATTTACTTTGTAGTGGTAGCGGTAGTAATAATCGAGTGTTGAAACCTCAGCATTCTGCAGGTTTTGCAGTGTTTGGTGCAATAACAGGTTATGCGATTTTTCCAAAACACAAGACTTTTAGAAAATTATTTAGCAAAAATCTTAAAAAAGCAGCTGGAAAGAAGAAAAAATTGCGTAAGTTGGCAAAAGGCTTGCCCTATATGATGGTTATCAGGGCTCCTCCGAAAGTCTCATACAAAAATTTTGAAAATTAGTGAAATATGGACATGGTGAAAACGAATGGTCGCAATTTCCAGGGAATATCTCATCACTCTCTCAAGGAATCACAATGGTTAAGCCACTGGAAAGAGGAAGAAATTCTGCATCGGATACATTTTAAAGTGATTGTTTATCTTCATTCTAGCGTGTTTGCCGATGGATTGAAAAAACTGACAAAACTTTTGCACCGACCTAATATTTCCTTCAGAAACTTTTTTCCAGACATAAACTTTTTCCACTTATCTGGACAGCGTGCGGAAACTCCGACCTACCAAAACAGCAAAATTCCGTAGAAAAAAGTTTATTAGCGGAAACCATGTTTTCCAGGCTAA